ACCGCCGCCACCCCCCGCCCCGCACTCCCCCGGCGTCACCGCCGCCATGAGCAGCGCCGAGATGGGCAAGTTCAACATCTCCCCCGACGAGGACAGCAGCAGCTACAGCTCCAACAGCAACGACTTCAGCTACCCCTACCCCACCAAGCCGGCTGCCATGAAGAGGTGAGGGCACTCCGCAGCCCCGGGGGGCGGGCGGCACCCGGACCCGGGCGGCCGTAGCCCCGCGTCAGTGCTAATTTGAAACGCCGCCTCGGGTCTGGAGGTGTCGCGTGTTGACACGCGTTACAGAAACACGGAAACGGCTGCGGACGTAAACACGCGCAATGCTGTCTGTACTGGGCAGAGCGTCAGGTGGGGAGGTTCTTCTTTTTGGGTCGTTCCCTTGGTTTTCTCGTTTCCCATTGGAACGGATTGGAGACGCTAAGTGGGGAGTGAATATCCCAAGTCACTAATGATGCCATGTTTTTTACAGCCACTATGCAGATATTGATCCAGAAAATCAAAATTTCTTGCTCGACTCCAATCTTGGAAAGAAGAAATATGAAACTCAGTATGTAAGTACATAGCAATGATGTTTCAAAAAACGAACAAAAAAAATTGCTTTCCTGCCGAATGTATGTTTGTTTTAATACTGAAATAAGTAATAACTTCCTATTAATTATTGCCTATCTCCCTTTCCTCAGCATCCGGGTACTACTTCCTTTGGAATGTCAGTATTTAATCTGAGCAATGCTATTGTGGGTAGTGGCATCCTTGGTCTTTCTTATGCCATGGCTAACACTGGAATTGCTCTTTTTGTGTAAGTATCTTTTGGCTCATCAAAAAAAAAAATAAATCTTTCTGCTGTGTGATTAATAATGGAAAAAATGCTTTATGTAAGAATATGACCTTTACAAAATACCCAGTCATTGCCCTAGGTGCAGAATTGCATTTTAGGATTTATGGCTTGTTTTAAATTAAGAGATTGTGATACATTCAGAAGGACTTGCAAAAATGAAGCAAGATTCATTGCAAGTTCTGCAACCCGCAAAACATTTTACGGTGAATTTTTCTTTACTTAACTGTCGTTTCTCCGTGAATAACTGATAGATTTCCCTTAAATTCCATTATCCAAGTGGAAAAGAGGTGCAACTTAACAGACTGAAGTCTGTATTAACTTTTTCCTTTAGAATTCACTGATTGAAATTAGTGACAACAGAAACTTTTCCATTAGTGGAAGTCATAATTGCACAAAAAGTAACAGGATCAGGCTGTAGAGAGTTAGAAGACAAATGTACACGGCAGAGGATTGTTTTATTTGTCTCATGTAAGTCTGGCCGTATCTACTCTTGAAAAATTCTGTGGGCCAGTCCTGCTGATCAGGGACGTGGCCTCCTTTTCCTCAACTGACATAGTTTTGCCTATAGAGGTACGATGTGCTTACACCAATAAAGAAATCCTTTTTATTGATATGCTTTTACTCGATTCAGGGAACTGGTTTCAGCTACACCTATAAAAATTGCTGTCTCCCTGCAAGAGAGGGATGTGGAATAACCATGTATAACTATATTGGCAAAAGCTGTCAAGGGTAAGACAAGGCTACAGTAACGTAGTTGGAAATTACATGAGGATGCAGTTACGTACAGTGCTTCTAAACGTCTTGGGCAAGTACATTTTTCATATATAGGAGACAGTTCAGCTCACGCAATGTGTAATATCAGTGACTGGGTGCAAATGGGAATCCCTGGATATGTTTAAAGGAACTTTGTATTTTTATCCTGGAAATAGATAAATGTGCTGAATGTTCGAGAACAAGTGAAGAGTAACATTTAATTCAAAATTTGCCTTACTCTGTTGCGAGATTTCCAGAAAGTTGTAGGTCAGATTTACTTCCAGATATTCCACAGTATATCAGGGTAGTGTTCAAGTTTCCTGGGGAAATTACTGATGTGTAAAGTTTTGATCTAAAGGATTTTATTTTAAATATATCGTGATACGTTAATTTTCTGCTAAGACCTTCACTTACTTAGATGATGCTAAACTGAACAAACAACTTAGCAGCATGAATTCAGAAGAGATAGATCAGCTCTGTACACATCAGTTTCATGCTCTAAAGATGTTCTGCAACACACGTAAGGTAATCAGCGTAATGCACATTAGAACATCTCTGAGGAGAGGAAAAAGAGAATTTAATTATTCAAATTTAATATTTGAACAGATTTGCATATAATAGGGGTCCTTTTTTCTGAAGAAAAAAATGTTCAAAACCATCAGTTTAACAATTAGTTGCCAAGGTTGTTTAGTTACCTTTCATTTCCCACTACTGCATTCAGATCTATTTGCATTAGTACGGATTCAAAAATAAACGAGCTTGCTACCTTTCAAAACTCAGTGTAGTTTGTATAGTTCCAAGGCAGGAAGGCAGTCACTGATGATGCAGAGAATTTATGATGACACTGAGGGGATTGCAGACATCCTTTAATAACTAGGATACAGAATCAGATCCAGATGCAGCTGATTAAGGCAGTAAATTCTTCGAAGACTCTGTGGAGTCACTTGTGTCAGTGCTGTGACTTGTCACTTGTGTCAGCACTAAATAAATGAATGATACGGTCTGGAAGCCAGAAACTGAGTGAGGTTCGAGATGAGTTTGCTAACTGATCTTGTCAACACTGTAGGCAGCTGTTTGAGGTTAGGACTGAGAGGTCCAGGATCTGTGCTGTTTTAATGACATGTAACCCTTGCACATCTCGGTGTGCTGTTTCTAGTTGATGGCTGAATTAAATCCTGGTTAATCTCTACCTATCAGAAATACAGAGGTTTATTCGTGTACATGTGTTGGTGTTGAATTGGCACAGTAACACAGGTTTCCTGGATTCCTTGTACAGATCTGTGAAGCTTTTCTCAGATCTTCTTGTTTCCAGTTCTTTGTGCCATGTTTACCGATTTCACCAGCGTTAAAAATGACACAGAAGGAAATGTAAAGAGTACTCTGGGAACTCTAAATGGAGCTTGCCATTTTTGAGCAGATGTGCTGATTCTTAGGCTTCCTGTAAAGCAGAATGCTTGTATTGCTATGAGAAAGGCCAGGGTTTTTTTGAATGTACTGTAATTTTCCACTGCGTTCTTCAGCAGCTGAGAAGTCCCCCCTAGTGTGCCACTCCGGGAAGTGCATTTGTTGTGGGAGAGATTTGTTGTTGAGAGATCTGAATTTTAGATGTTGCAAATGTGCTTCTGGAAATAATGTATTATATATTGCATGTAAAAGCTGTGGGGAAGATAAACAAGCTACTAGCGATTCCCATGTAAGCACACATGAAGAATAACTTAGGAAAAGAAAGTATTCTTTTTTTTTTTTTAATGACAATAAATACGTATTTCCATTTGAAGACACAGCTCTCAATTCAATACTTCTGAATTTTCAGTCAATTCTTTAAGGCTTTTGCAGTTTCATCTTTACATAAAAAAGACATAACACAGGTTTAAGCTGAAAAGCTGATTTGTTTAAGACCAAGAGATAATCTTCACTTCAGCTACAGTTAGTCACAACTCCATGGTTCAATAGCTTCATGACACACTGTTGAACAAAGATAGGAAGACAGGAGAAAGACAGTTTCTTACAATGATACAAAACCATTCCCAGTGATACTTTAAGTTATTTGCATCAAATGTAGCCAATTTTAATGACCTGACACTTGCTGGTGCTTATACCACCTTACACTGATTAAGCGTTGTTTAATCCTGCACTAGAATTACTCTGAATGCCAGTGAAATGCATTTTAGTATAAAATCTTTTCTAAACTAGGCTTTAATCGGGTTTTCAGAATGCTTTTAGCTGGCCTTAGAATCTACAGGTTTTTTCCCAGATAACATTTTAATGATTGATGTTTGATCCACCTTTATTTAATAAGGCTACAATAAGTCGTTTATGGCTATTAAAAATTTGCGTGTTTTCCCCCCCCACAGGATACTCCTGATGGTTGTCTCAATATTTTCTTTGTATTCGGTACATCTCCTTTTGAAGACTGCCAATGAAGGAGGTATGGCAAATTACTATTTTACAAACATAGGGTATTTATTTCATATGGTATCTTTGTGAAACGCACCCTTCCAATGGATTGTTTTGTTTTCTTTTAGGATCTTTATTGTATGAACAGTTAGGAATGAAGGCATTTGGCATGGCTGGAAAACTTGCTGCTTCTGGATCAATTACAATGCAGAACATTGGAGGTGAGGATGAGATCTTAACCTATCTGTACTGTCAATAGTAATTGTTCCCTACTTATTCTTGGAGACTTTTTTTTTTTTCACACAACATGTGTTCATTAACTGCTTGTGTTCAAGTGAAGTTATGAAACATGTTATGTGATTCTTGCATCTTGTGGCATATTCTATATTTGTAATGATCTATGATGTTATTCACCTACAGCTATGTCAAGCTACCTCTTCATAGTGAAATATGAGTTACCATTGGTCATCAAGACATTTATGAACATCGAAGAGACCACAGGGTAGGTGTTAGAACTCCTCATCAGAGAAACTATTAGGAGAAACAAATATGGAGACTGTATATATTTTTATACGAAGACCACGTTCGGTATACCATAGGGTAGCTTCTTACTCAGACAGAGATACAGTAAGTTTGCCCTTCCCCTGAGCGCTCTACTTCATTTAGATCCAGCCTGTCCTGGGAAAAGGGTAGAAAAATCAGGTATCGCATCATATTACAGAAAGCTGTTCTCTAAAGAACATCAGGTAAGTGTTAATGTATGTACCAGTCAGTACATACTCTCTCAATAAGGAAAGGTAAATGTGGTTATGGTTGTTGGTTTGGTTTTTTTTTTTTCTTATTGCATTCCAACTGGTTTGGACTGATTATTTTGGTTTTCTAGTGTTAATGTTGTGGGAAGTGATTAAATACAAGACTAAGGTGCAGTTGTGTAATGAGAACAGTTCTCAAAAAGACATGGAGACTAAACAGTGAACTAAAACAGAGTTTATATGCCCAAGATTAAAATGGTGGATGCATTGCCACTTAGCCTTGGAGACACCTTGACTCCACAGTGGCTTTTCCTGCTGGGCTTTAAAAGCGGGCGCCTTGCGTAGGGTTTATGTTATCTAACCATACCATCTGAAAGTTAGATTTTGAGCTCCTCATTACTCTGGTCTTGTATAATCAGCGGAGAAAGTTGATGCTGTCTGCACCTGGCTTAGACACCTGTTTTGGGCATCCCCAGAGCCATATATCACTCTGTATTGAGACGGTGTGTAAAAACAGCTATCTAAAACAAGATGCCTGACTTCAGATGGATAGAGTTAAGTGCTATAAATCTCACTCTTCAGAGTTGTACTTCTGTGCCTTGTCCTGAAGTGTCCCAGTCTTGAGAGGGCTGAGCAGCTCAAGACTCCAACTTACACCTAAGCCTGAGTTCAGAAGGTAGGCATTTTTCTGCCTGTGTTCCCCAAGGGGTTCAAGCCATTTGGTGGTGTTGTACAGCTTGATGATAAATATTGTCATGACAACAGTGCTAGCCATCTCTGTCTCTTTTTTTTTTTTTTTAACGTACTCAACGCACCCACTCTATTTACTTAATAGTGTAATGTTTACAGTTTTTTTTCCTGGGAAGGTTAATTTCCCTCCTTTGGCTGAATTCAAGTCCTTATTTTCCACTTCTTAAGAAACTCTCTGGAGTAGCCACTACTTACGAGAGGGCTTGGAGGCAAGTATTTTTGACTGTCCCATCTTCAGAGAAGAATTCAAAATCGGATGCAGTTCAAGAGGGAAAGCTGAAGGCTGTGAATCTCACTTGGATACAGCTGCTGCTCTGCAAATCTGGCAGACAAAATTCAGAAACTGAGATTTGTATCTTCAGTGTTTTCTTGTTGGCTGGTGCTAGGTAACTGTACACTGATTTAAAGTAAATCTTTTCTCAGTGCTCTGGCAATTGTGGACCCCACTTAACTGACTCTCTCCATGCGTTGCTTAGGGCAGTCTGGGTGGCTACCATTGGCATGGATTCCACTCTGGCAGCCCGGTGCCTAAAATGTAAGCACTTACCTGTTCAAATGTCCCAAAATAATGCTTACGGTAGAAGAAAATATTCTGGAATTCTGAGGCAATATTACAAATACTATCTCTATTATTAAAACTCATTTAGGAATTTTTAAAATACTCAACTGTATTTTAAAGCTGTGCAATCTCATTCTTTACTCTTCAGCACAGAAAAACTTTTTATGTCCTTGGTCTGAAAGTCCTTGGTCTGAAAGTCGGGATGGCCTTCATGTGCACAGTAACAGTGCAAGTTCTTATGACTGTATCAAATGCAAGGAATCTCTGTGCTGTGATTACTTTTAAATTTACCATAAGGCTACTAAATTTTAAAAAAAGGAAACAAAAGGTACATGGCATTAATGTCCTACACATCTGAACTTAAAATATGGTTTTTACATTTAGTTATCCCAGATAAAACTGGAGAAAGAGATGACCAAATTTTTTCTGCATTTTCTGCATAAATCCAGAGCAAGACTGTTAAAGTTATTCCATATTTCCACTAGCATATATAGGCTTATAATTAAGCAGTTGAGTCTGAACACACAAATTTCCAATTGGTTCATTATTTTTTTCTTTGTTTACCTAAATAGCAGTCCATTTTAAAATAAATACTGTTAGCTGATACCATAACAGGACATAAAGTATTAATATTTGGGAATAAATGCTTAGTGTTACTTGAATTGCTTAAAGCATATAGGATGTTCCTGTAGGACAGATGAAGAAAGCAGTTACCCTGCCACGATTAAATACTCAAGATAAGGTTTTTTCTGTTAGTTCAGTGAAACTGCATTATATTACACAGATCTAACTTTGTTTTTCTGTGTTTCAAAGTAAGATGTTAATCTTCTAACACTCAAAAATGTTGTGTCAAAAAGCTGCTGCTTCTTATGGAATAAGTGGCAAAAATGATCAGAAGGAAAAAAATTTCTGAGGTTCTTACTGCAGTTTCCCTACTAAAAGGGACTAAACATGCCTCCAAGAGACTCCCAGTGCTTGGTGGAGTTTTCTCAGCCAGTGGGCTTGAGCTACTGTCTTAACTCCAGCCCATACCTGTTTTTCTTTAACTCTCACAGGGTACCCAACAGAATTTTACTTCCATTAAAAGTGGATCAGCACCCTGCTGGGGCCCCACAATATTCTAATACATCTGGAGAGTTGGGAACCAGCACTTAAGCAAATTACTATTTTTCCATGATTGATCCCAGTTGACTTTTTTTCTGACCAGTCATTTACTTTCCTGTCTTCTGACTTTCAGATGCATATTAATTTTAGAAAAGGACACTAAAGGAAAGGCACAATGCAGGTTTGGGGTGAGATAAGAAGGTATTGTAGGGCTTTAGGTCCATCTAGTAAGTGGAATGCTAATCCCTTGTGACATAAGGTACTACATTTTTTTAAGAAGCCATATGATGTAGGAGAAGATAAGCATGAAGACTAAACTGCAAATGTTGTAATTTTTAAATACTTTGATTGCTTACAAACATTACCTTTTTTCTACAGAGAATGGTATCTTAACGGCGACTATTTAGTGCTGTTGGTGTCTGTCATCCTCATTCTTCCCCTGTCCTTACTGAAAAATTTAGGTAAGCAGTAGAGTACAATCAAAATAGAAATGTATTGAAAATACTGTGGGGAAGTGGGTTGATACGATGTTAGGCTCTTGAAGTACTGTGTGAACAGCTGTCTCCAAACTTGTCTCTTGGGACTAATCAGTGTTCAGGTAATTGCTGTCAGTCCACTTAAAAAAAACAATAATTAAAAAAAGATCACGACAGGTGTCTTAAGTTACAGATGGGTTTGTAGAAAACGAAAGGACGACAGGGTAGGTTTAGAATAAGGCTCAACAGTAACTTTTTGTTAGTGTTCTTATCACAGTTTGACCTATTTTGGTCAGTAGTGAAATAGTATAATATTGTTATTAGCTAATAGTGTTACTAGCTATCCTGTAACAGTCTCAAAAGACTAGGGATGCTAGCTCTCGACGGTTAAATTGTCTTTGCAATGTAAATAGAAGTGGCGGTTTTCACTTTATATCCCAAGCAGTAGCAGAATATTCATACCAGATGCTTTATCTGAAATGGCTGTAATTCAGTGATATATGTGAATAATTCAGTTAACACATTTGTTCAGAGAATCCTGTAGTGGAACTTTACTGAGAGTCTCAATGTGAATTACTTTCTCAAGTTACTACTTTCTACAAATTGACAGAAGAGACAAAAACGGAAGGGAAAAAGCTAAGTTTTCTCATAGTGCATTCTATTAGAATAAATTCTATAATCATTCTTAGTACATAATAAACAACTCACATAGTTGTTGGTCTGGGGTTTTTTTCTAAGTTGTAAAGTTTAATATTGCAGACCCACTGTATGCACAGACCCTAATATGTCTTTCAGAACTTTCAGATCTGGGTTGAGATTAGTGGAAAGTCAATGAATAATTAACTTGTTCTATGTAACACTAAGAAAATGGCAATCTAAAGAGATCACTGACAGAATATATTTTGTCATCATCTTGTGACATGAATGGTGTTTCATGTATTGTACCTGAGATTTTTTTAATCTTTCTTGAACACAGGATATTTGGGCTATACCAGCGGCTTTTCCTTACTTTGCATGGTCTTCTTTCTGATTGTTGTAAGTATAATCTTGTGGACTTCCAGTGCTTGTAAAACTGCATTTCAAAGTGAAATTAAACTGTTTCTGAAAAGTTTCACATATTGCATTAGTCAAAGTGACAGTAAATACATGGCTTTATTTCTAGGTAATTTGGAAGATGTTTCAGATCCCTTGTCCTATGGACAGTGACATAATAAACATGACACATTTAGCAAATGTGACACTGGCATCTTTGGGAGATGGAAACATAACAAGTGATGACATGTGCAAGCCAAAATACTTCATCTTCAATTCACAGGTAACTGACTAAAAATCAGACTCTCTGTTGAAAAAAACTGAGAGACTAAATACATAGCAGATAAATTAGGTCATTTTTCCTTGAAGTAATTGCCAGTTGTAAACTTGGGATGTGCTGGGCCTTTCTGTTCTAGCAGAGTTAGGCACTGTTTTCCTCCTGCAGACTGGGTGTTTCCACACTCCAAATGCAGAGAAGTTAGAGGAGCTTGAGGTGCCTGAGATGAACAGCAATAAACGCATCTCTCATTCTTCAGCACAGCATTTCTCAAGCTTTCTGAAGTTAGTAAAGCACGTTAAAAAGTAGATTGCAGAGGAGGGTGAAGTAAGTAGTAAAAGCATGTGAATGGTGAATGTATGCCAGGGTTTGAAATAGACTTGAAGTTCCCAGTCGCAAAGTCTTGACTCATGAATGGTCCCAATTAGTGGTGAATCTCCACACACGGGGAAGAAGTATGTGTGATAGCCAACACCAAGATCAGGCTATAATGGCTTAAGCCTGTGAGATGCAGAACATAATTCTGAATGTAAATACATTCAGCTCAGCGTGGACTTCAGTGAGGTTTGGGAGTACTTGGTACCTCAGGTTCTGGGTTTAAAGAAAACAGAAACTTGTTTTAACTTTTGCAAAGTTTTAGTAGGAAAGAATAGGTAGTCTTTATCAAAAACTAAACTGATGCCTAAGTCAAAACGGAAAAGTCTACTGATTAATTTTTTAAAACTGAATTTCTAATGTCTGTTGAGATATTTAAGAAAGATACTTTTGTTTTTCAGACTGTCTATGCTGTACCAATCTTAACATTTTCTTTCGTCTGCCATCCTGCAATTCTTCCTATCTATGAAGAGCTGAAAAGGTATGTGTTAGGTGTCTGTGATTTGACTAAACAAACAAAAGTAGTATAAACCAGTATGTTCTCATTGCTAACAATGTTTCTTTTTCTGTTTCTTATAGCCGGAGCCGTAAAAGAATGATGAATGTGTCCTATGTATCTTTTTTTGCCATGTTCCTCATGTACTTATTGGCTGCTCTCTTTGGATACCTGACATTTTATGGTGAATATTGCCTTCTCTGCTTTCTTTTAAATGAATTACGTTCTGCAAAACCACAGTATTATTTTTAAGTTAGAGCAAGCAAGTATTTGCTATGGGTTCTAAATATACACTGTTTGTTGGGGATTTTTTTAATACTTTTATAAGTGCACACCCAAAAGGAGATCAGTAGTAGAATTAGGCCCAAGGCACAGGATTAAAACTGGATTAAAACAGATTCAGTGCCTCCAAGTTATCCCTGTGTAAAATGGAGATGGGCTTACAGGAGCTGTTGAGGCTTTCAATGCATATTGCTGTAACTGTAAAATTCGCTTAGGATGTAGAGCAGAAGTGGGTTACTTTGAGAAGTATGTATGTCAACTACATCTAATTAAAATACTGTTTTCTTTATAGGAAGAGTCGAACCAGAACTGCTTCATACCTACTCTGCTTATCTGGGTGCTGATATTCTTCTTCTTATTGTGCGTCTTGCTGTACTTATGGCTGTAACCCTTACTGTACCTGTAGTTATTTTCCCAGTAAGTAATTTATTGTTTTAATCTTGCTACCATTTTTTTTTTATTTCCATCACCTGTCCTGCTGCAGTCATTTACTGATTTGGCAACTCCCATTTATAGAATTTTTCTCTTAACTGGAAAAGGAAATTTATTCTAACAAGTTTGATGAAATATATCTATACTGTTAATTCAAATAAATTAAGTAATTAGGCAACATTTACAAAGCAGTAGATACAAGTATCTTCAGTTATATTGTTTTCTTGCTATGATTTAATTGGGGAAGTGGAACAGATTGCCCCTTTATAAAAGTACTTGCACTATTGTGTTATCAGCTTCCAAAAGTCAGTGTGTTTTTGTTAGTACACTGTGAACATAATTCTGGCCATCTAGGTGTATATTGTTGAGCAGCGTCCTTAGATGTTACAAAAATCCCTGGGATTTATTTTTGTTAAAGACGGATGTTTTCCCTTGTGTTTTCTCCATTACTGGCTGTGCTTTGAAAATCTAAATCCCTGAAGAGAAACAGACCAGAAACACAGAGCTGCCTCTCAAGTGCAGGAAGTAAATATTTAAAAAAAAAAAAAAAACAACAAACTTTCAGGTCTTTCAACTTTTATTAAAATCTCAGGAAAATGATGTTAAAATACTTTCAGAAGGAAGGCCTAATTCAGGTGACAGTCACTGACTTTCCCAATGGAAACTAAACTGTCCTTTTTTTTTTTTTCCCCCCCTCTTCAAAAGATCCGCAGTTCCATCACCCAGCTGTTGTGGGCAGGGAAGGACTTTAGTTGGTGGCGTCACTGCTTCATTACAGTTGCTCTTCTGGCATTTACCAACCTGCTTGTTATCTTTGTCCCTACTATCCGAGACATCTTTGGCTTCATTGGTAAGCATTTTCACGTCAGTTCAAGTAGTCTTTCAAATCTCAGAAAATGCGGTTCCTAACTAATTAAATTATATTTACCTGTTTATAAATATTTATTTCTATGCTTTTTAAATACAGGTGCATCTGCAGCTGCCATGCTGATCTTTATACTTCCTTCTGCCTTCTATATCAAATTAGTGAAGAAGGAACCGATGAAGTCAGTGCAAAAGATTGGGGTATGTATAGACAAATACGTAATAGTTACACTTGCTTACTAATTCAGAGCAAAAACTTCAGTTTCCTTCTTCACAGTTGAAGAATTTTGAAGTCCTGGTTAAGGTAGTCAGTGAATTGGCATTTAATGTTATTGTATAATATGTGGGAGTTGTATAGGTGCTCAAAACTGAGGAGAGAGCCGTCACACGGCTCAGTTCACTTCAGTGACTTCCTCACTGCTCAGCCCCAATCTCAACAATAGTTGGGTCATTCTGTTGCTTATGAGAACCAGATTTCATTAGATTACCTTTAAGAGGTATACTACAAAAATCTTGTCATTCTTCTTTAAATTTTCTTACAGGACTTATTTACCCCCTAAAAGCTGACCTCCACCAATCATTTGGGTCATCCTGACTGATCTTGGTGCTCTTACTGGTCTTAGGCTTACTGACTCAGAATCAAATCTTGGCTATACTGAGTCAGAATCAAGTCAGTGCAGTGGCACAGCCTAACTGGTATCAGCTGCTATATTAATTTCCCTCAGCTGAGGGTGAGGTCTGCTATACTGAAAATAAAGGTACTTTTTTATTTGAAAAAGGATCCTAAGTATGGGAAAGATACCCAGCTCCTTATTGTTTACTGTGATCTCTTGTCTCTTTTACTTTGTCCTCGATGAGCAATGGTACTTGTGCCATGAATGGGCATGACTTCATGGATATAGTAGCAGAAACTGAAATACTTCTTTTATGTTTTCTTTTTTCAGGCTGCGCTCTTCTTTCTAAGTGGTATACTTGTGATGACTGGGTGTATGACACTGATTATTCTAGACTGGACCCAGAATGTTGAATCTGATGGCCATTAACTGTCCTGGTTTAATCTCTAATACTCCACTTCAAATGCCAGTGTTCACTCAGATACCTACTGAGAATGAAAATGAGCTATTCAGCTTCCTTTAAAATGCAGATTCTTTGTTGATGGTCCTTCTGATTGTAGAATACCCGAACTCTGTCTCTAAGGAACTATTCTGCATGATGGAAGTGGATATTAACATCAAACCACATGAGTGTCTGGCTGAAGGAAGTGACAACTTTATTCCATTCCAGAGAATGGACAGAACTCTCCATAGACTTTTATCAAGCCATGTTTGGCTTTTGTCATTGTTACTTGGATATTTTGTTATTTTACTTGAATGTGCCTAATGGAACCATTTGATGTGAGAAATAACTCTTTAATTTACAGCAAAGTGTTTAAATAACCAATGAGAGAGAGAGAGAGAGAAAAACACTATTATTTTTTGTACCAAAAAATTCTTATGGACCTCAAAAGCACTATTTTGACTTTAAGAAACGTTTTTCTAAAAAGAATGAAAGAATAACATAGAGCTCATAAAAATACTTAATCAGTGTCCTAAATTAAATCTAGTTTGCCTTTCTGTAGAGGCATAATTAGAAGAAATTTTTATTTTAAAAAATACTTCTAATGACCAAAACAGAAAATGAACCAATTCAAGTAAAAAATCTCTAATTATAAATGCTTCCCACAAAATTCACTTAATTCAAAGTAGAGTGAAAATAATTCTGAAAATCATTTGTCAGCTTACTTAAGTAATTATATTTACCTTAGTTCCCCAAAATCGTGTGGAAACCCAAATTTTGAAGCTTTAAAAAATCCACCCTTCAGAAGGGTTACGTTTGAGGAAAACGTAGCTGATCTAGAAGTCGTAAAGATGGCATTGACATTTCCCTTCTTGAGGTACTCAATAGTGCAGTTGGGTAAAACAGGGTTTGGGAGTTTTTGTGTTTGTGGGGTTTTTTCTGTTGTAGATACAAACTCAATGGCACTGGGGCGTATCATGCCATTAACTCCCTCCTGGAGTTCTCTTTATTAATATGGTCCATTGTCAGTTGTAGCAATGTGTGTTGGGTTTTTTTTCTGTCCAATCTATCTTGAAACACTCTGTAGGAAAACAAAAAGGTCCTAATGTAGTTTACTAGTTGTGTAATATTCAAAAAGTGTACAGTATTTCTCAAATTACTCATCCATTATTGGATTTTGAATTACTTGACTATTCTGTTTCTGAGTCAAATCCACAGAATAACTGCACCAGTATTTCCTGCTTGGTACAAAGTCTCTTCGCATACGCAACTGGGATTCCTCTTCCAATTTATACTGTATAGTAGTATTAAAGATAACCTCATAGACTGGATAGTCATCTCATACTTGTTTGCTTCAGAAATAGGTAAGTTTCTTATGAGCCCTAGCTAGCTAGCTGATGAAACAGGTGCTGTATGGTTGTGATTAGCTGTTTTGTTTCTAGTGCATGTTTACTCTTTCATTCTTATCCCAGGTTGAAGAGAAATAACACTGGTATAACAGCGTACTTGGCTTATAAGAGGTTCTCACACACAACAATATTGGGTACAAATGCCTAGATAGAGAGTATTAATGAAATAATCATGGCAACGTGGTCAACTGTCTTCATCTGACATGATGCTTTAAAAATCTGATTTACAACGTTCCACTCGGTTGTTGTGTCAGAGGGAACAAGTGAGGGCCTGTAATCTGTTCATTAAACAGTGCCTGAAACTTCTTTGCTCTTGCAGAATTAATCGGGAACAAATCTAAATGATCGCCACTGTTTGGCAGGTAACATCAGTCTCTGCCCAGCCATTTAAAAAAATCTATGAAAACAACTGCAGGTATTTTGTATTGATACTTCGCATGACTGTAAGTACTGGTCACTAAGTCTGTAGTGTAAAACTGTAATGAGAAGTTAGATTCCTCTTGTGTTGTTTGCATTATTAGTTCGGTGGTACTCAACTGGCAATTAACGATCCTGGAGTCAGCGCTGACGAACGCTCCTTAGGTACTTCTCTGCCTCAGGTACTGCACATCTGTGGCTAACTATCCCATGTTACCTGATCTCCACAGAAGTGCTGAGCGTGTGCCTCCCCAGTACTTTGGCAGCTTTTCTTCTTCCTCTCTGCCCACATAGAAAGGTGGAAGAGGATTAAAATGTTGTCTACCTTTGAGCAATTTGTAGCACATAGGGGATGAACTGCTTCCTGTGCCAGCATTTAAAAAAAAAACAGGGAGAAACAGCCTCCTTTCAGTAACCGCAGAAGAGGAAGGAGGTGTAGATGAGAAGTTACTACACAGTCCTTCTGAGCAGCCAGGGAGGAGGAAGATTTTTGTGATGACACCTCATATCATACATGTCACTTAATTCTCTGAATGTAGCAATTTCCAGTTTTTACATTATGTGCTATATTATTTGATGACTGGCTCTCCACCTGCAGCAGTTGAGTTCCACTTGGCTGGGTTGATTTCCAAGGTATGATTTATTTAATTTTGTATTTTTTTCCAAACCTGTCTGCTTAAAGTTACTTATATTACAAACCACCTGAAAGAACAGCTTCAGTATTAAACCACTGTCTTGTCACCTCGGTTAGACATTACTGTCTTCCATGATATTTCAGTCATAAATGTAACATGTTATTTATAAAACATTAATCCATTAAAACTAAACCTATTTTTCAATATTTATGATAGTCTATGTACATAAACTGTATGTGTGTATATACTGTAAGTATGATGTATATAATGTAGGTTTGGAATCAAAAATTTATGTATATATTCCTCTCTCATTACTGATTGTTACATTGTGTCAAGGAGTTGTTCATGTTGTACATCTGTATAACAACTGTCAAAAGAAAGATACTTTTACAACAAAACGTAATGCTTAAAAAATGGAAGAAATGTGTTACGCCTAAGGTGTGTAAGAAAACTTAAGATTGTATTTATTACAAATGTATATGTTGCAATAAACACAGGAGTCACTTGGGTCCATAAAAAGCATCGTTCAGGTTCACGTATACTTTTCCTCTAAAATTTACCATGGATGTTGCAGTTCCCGGAATGCAGCAACTTAACAGCTTTTACAATCTAACGTATTTGTTAGGCCACCGAATTCAGGCATTCTGTGGTACATCCGTGTACATATGTAAATAGCCACTGTATTGTTAGAGGCCAACACTCTAGCTACGGTTGTTGGCAGGGAGTGCAACAGTTTCAATGAAACGTTGTATGTTTGTTTTAACTGAAATAAATAAATAGATAATCCTAAGCAATGGTGTGGGGTTGTTGGTTTTCTGGAGGAGGGAGGAGGCATTTGCAGGATTTTCTTTAAAGACAGTATTAAAAGTGTGTCTTTTAATTTCATACATGTTTAACTAATTTATGAGCACTTTTCAGGAAGGGGGGGGGAAGGAAAAATAGCACACTACTAAGTCCACAATTTATGACACTACAGGAGTAAACAGAACAAGTCTGGACGTTAAATGAGAGATTAAATTCTGCAAGGAACGTGTATTTTTTGCAGTACGAGCATAGTTGGAGACAGGACTCAATGTGTTGGATCTTGTGTAAGTGTAATTAATGAGTGAGTCTTGCCAAAATCCTGTGCCATTTTCCTGCAACTGAATCTAACTGCCTCTATAAAAATTTTTCAAAGCTAGTGCATCTGTTTCACTTGCATTTTAGCACTTGGATACAAACCAAGTGCGGCATATTGGGTCTTTGTTCTCCAGAAATCCCTATCGATTCATAGGAATATTTGTCTTTCCTAAATACTAAGAATTGGATGTGAGAGACACTGGAGGTGTAACTCGCTGTGTTACATATACAACAAAACACTATCTGAAAGGAATATTAAAGAGGCATAGTTAAGTGCCCTGAAATTAGGAAATGCCTCAATTAAGGTTGCTTTAATTACACAATCACAGTATTTTTCACCAGAACCCCCACTGACTAGCTATTCATTGGGGTTTTTTTAATCATATTGTCTATGTGTTCACTTACATATTCACTCAAAGTCCAAAGCCTGTCGTGATGAGGGGTAAATGACCTCATTTTGCTCTAGTTCTCATTTTAATGTCATCTTTGTGAAACAAATGATTACTCATGTTCACAATGTTGCAGGACAGTAGGAAGGTGTCGATCAGTCTGCACATCTGGGGACCTGAAGTGCGTAGAAATTTAATGTCCTGCACTTGCTAATTTTGTATTTCTGCATTTGTCTACATGCATCTGAAGCATAACTGCAAACGGGTTTTGAGTGATCATCATTCCTGAAACAAGAACCCTAAGCACCAAGTTAGCCACTTGGAAATGGTGATTCTTGGAAATGCTTGTTCTTATAACTTGTCTACCGTCACACAGGAATTTCATAGCAGTAGAGAACCCCTTTCCCCAGAACCCCACTAGACTAGTTGAGCAATTAAGCCCACCTCTCTGCAATTAGGGGTTTCTAGCAGCTTAATATGGGAAGCCGTCTTTTCTACACACTTCTGATTCCTCCCAAGAGTTAGCTCACCGTGTGATGAATGAGACGGTGCAATGGTTAAAAAAAAAAAAAAACAGGAACAGAAATTACATTGTGTGGCAGTGTCTAGAATCCCGTGCTTTGAACCTCTTTACCCACCACAAGGTCTTTGCTCCAGAAGAGGGATAAGCTGTCACTTAGGGTTTATTCACAATGCGGAGATTTGGGAATCTCTCGAGGCCTCTGCAGGTGAGAGATGGCATCTTTACTTTCTTCTGTTTTCCCTGAATTTTACCTCTTTTTCCTGCCCTGGCCTTGCAAAGTCTGTTCTGTCCTAAGGTCATGCCCAGGCACCTCACCCCGAAGTGCTCACGCAGTGGCTGGATCGCATCAGGTCTTGCCATAGAATCGCTCTCCCATGGTGTAGCTCGTATCCCTGTTTTAGGGAGCACGGCTCCTGTTCAGCCTGTGTGCCCAGGTTTCCTTTCTGGAGAAACAGAACAGAGGGTGGTTGGTGTACTCCCAGGTTTCAGCACCAGAAGGAGCTGAGGTGCCGTGAGGGAGCCCCCAGTCCTGTCCTTCCAGGAATGTGGACGTGCCATCCCATTGCCAGTGCAGATGTGCCCAGTGCCAGTGCAGATGTGCCCAGCGCCCGCCTCCTCGGCCTTTCTGGTATCAATCTCTTGAGCTGCTTCCGCATGCATTTCCTTCTGCCTCCTTGCACAGCTGGTTTTGGCTGTCACAAGGTGACTCCTTGACAGCTCTGTCACTCTTGCTCTGACCCCAGCCCCAGTTTGCCAGCTCCCCAGCAGCACCACCTCTCCCAGCTCCTCCTGCAAGCCGCCTTCCCCCATCTTACTACCTTCCTGACTACGTGCCTGCCC